TGTTCTCACTGTGTTCTCATTATGTTCTCACTGTGTTCTCCTTGTGTTGCTGTAAAGGAGAGCAGCAGTAACTGTGCTACCTTGTTCCTCCTGCAGGGCGGCGACCTCTTCGACGCCATCACCTCCTCCACCAAGTACAGCGAGAGAGACGCCAGCGCCATGGTGTCCAACCTGGCCGGCGCCATCAAGTACCTGCACCGCATGAACATCGTGCACCGGGACATCAAGCCAGAGAACCTGCTGGTACAATACACAACAACAGACACACAACAGACACACAACGCAGTAACACAATGCAGTAACACAACAGACACACAACAACAGACGACAACAGACACACAACGCAGTAACACAACAGACACACAACAGACACAGTTCATGCAGTTAATGATGCTGATCAGCAGTTTCTGTATCTGTGTGCAGTAGAAAGTTTGTTGTGTTGTTGTGTTACTTACTGTGTTGTGTTGTCCTGCAGGTGTGTGAGTATCCAGACGGCACCAAGTCTCTGAAGTTGGGGGACTTTGGTTTGGCGACGGTGGTAGAAGGTCCTCTGTACACAGTGTGTGGAACTCCAACATACGTGGCCCCGGAGATCATCGCTGAGACCGGGTGAGAGTCTGACCGACCGATCAGAGGAGGGGTGAGAGCCTGACCGACCGATCATAGGAGGGGTTAGAATCTGACCGACCAATCAGAGGAGGGGTTAGAATCTGACCGACCAATCAGAGGAGGGGATAGAGTCTGACATGTTCCAGGTGTTGATGAAGCCGTCTCAGACCTTCTCCATGTTAATCAAACAGCAACTCAACATGTCGCTTACTTCCAGGTTTCAGGTCACTTAAAGGTGCTTGTGGTGCACAGACGAGTTGATCTCTGGTCACCTGTCACACTAACCTGCTGTGTGGTTTACAGTTACGGTCTGAAGGTGGACATCTGGGCGGCTGGAGTCATCACATACATCCTGCTGTGTGGCTTTCCTCCGTTCAGAAGGTCCGTCAGTAATCGACCCGTCACTCAGCTGACTGGATTTATCCCTTTTGTACCAAAGATTACTACAAATACAGAGAACTAACATCTGTTTGACTCCCATCAGTGAGAACAACGTCCAGGAGGAGCTGTTTGATCAGATCCTCAGAGGGAAGCTGGAGTTTCCGTCTCCAGACTGGGACACCATCAGCCTGCCAGCCAAGGTACAGAGAACCGCCTCAGCCTGAAACCTGCTTGGTTTCCACTCACTGTGGCCCATTTTCATTGCAACATGATAATAACGGTCACATGACCTGTTCTGCAGATGCTCATTAGTCAGATGCTGCAGGTGAACGTAGACGCTCGATTCACTGCTGAGGAGGTTTTGTCGCACCCGTGGGTGACGGTAAGAACCAGCGATGCCACACAGACTGCTCTGATAATGGAGAGATGTTTGTACTTTCACACTAAACCTCTTGTGTGTTTACTCAGGATGAGGCTCCTGCGGACTCAAACACTGTGAGCAGCACCGAGGACCAGACCAGCGCAGACGCACTGGAACCAGAGCAGGAATCCCCCATACTGGAAACCAAACAAGTTCCTTCTCCTCTGGTCTAGAGCACATCCTCCTCCATCAGCCCAACAGTCCTCACCTGGTCAACTGGAAACCCACAAAGTTTCCTCCATCTTTGGTCTGGACTGGGAACCAGGTCTAGATTCAGTTCTATGGACTCCTGTGTAGAACATGTCCTTTTGGAAACCAGCTTGGTTTTGACTCCTGGAAGCCAACAAGTCCAACATGATCCAGGACAGAACCTGTTTCCATCTGCTGGAAACCAAACAAGTTTGCTCCAGTCTGATCTTGAATGTGCTGTTCTTCTTACTGGAAACCAAACAAGTTCCTTCACCCCTGGTCTAGAGCACATCCCCTTCCATCAGCTGGAAACAGAACCTAACATCCCCTCTTTTGGTCTCTTCATAACCTAGAAAGTTTCACCAATGTCTGGTCTGGACTGAAAGCCAGACGGGTTCCCTCTAATCCAGTCTAGAACCTGTCATATGGACTCCTGCCCAGAACACGTCCTTTTGGAAACCAAATTCATTTGTCACCTGGAAGCCAACAAGTCCATCATGATCCAGTCTAGGACAGAACCTCGTCTCATCTCCTGCAAACCAAACAAGCTCCATTCAGTCTGATCTTGAATGTCCTGATGTATCTACTGGAAACTAAACAAGTCACTTCTCCTTGTTCTTGTTCCGTTCCACCTTCTGGAAACTGAGAGAACATATCTGGTGTGATCATGTAGTCTAGAAAATGTGTCTGAAACCAAACCAAATACGTATCAAAGAGTCCTGTTCCTTCTTCTGGAGAACCAAACCAGTTCCCTCCTTTTTGATCTGAAACACATCCAGTTCAAGCTGATGGACACCGAACCGGTTAAAATCCTCACTGAACACATCTACATGAAACCAAATGGACTCCCTCAGCACTGCTCTGGACGCAACCCATTTTATCTTCTACATACAGAACTAATTCTACCACCTGAGATCTAGAATCTCCCCAGAACTTGTTCCTGTTTCTTCTACATGAATCTAAACAAGAAACAAACTGGAACCAGTCACACTTTAACCACTGGAAACCAAACAAGTTCCCTCAGATCTTGTCCAGAACCAGTCACGCTTCAGTCAGTGGAAACCAAACAAGTTCCCTTGGCACTAGTCTAGAACATGGGTACTTCCATTTGCTGCTGCTCTGGAAAACCTCCGTCTTTTCACTGACTGGAAACCAAACAGGTTCGGTCAAGTTTGGTCCAGAACACACCCTCCTTCATTAGCTGGAGACTGAACAAGTTCTCTTAAATCTGGTCCAGAATAGAACCTGGTATGTCCTGGAAACCAAATAAGTTCCTGAGAGTCTAGCCTAGAATGCGTATCGCTGTATGTTCTGCAGACCAAACTAGTCCTGCTCCTCTGATCCAGAACATCTCCAACCAATACAAGTTCCCTAGAACCCAGTCTAGAACACTTCCCCTTTGTTTTACACTGGAGCTGTTTTGGTTCCCTCTCCTTGGACTTTGAAGGTGAACCGTTCTACTTCCTGGAACCTGAACAGGTGTCCTCATGTCTCTGTTTGATCCACTGGACCAGATCAGGTTTCCGGTATAATTTCCAGTTATCTCCTGGAAACGTCTCCGTCTCGGTTCTGGACCTTTTAAATCTACTGAAAACGTTCACAAAGCCTGTTTCTGCTGCTACTGAGCTCCATTCTGATTTGGCGAGACACTGATGACATCACGTCCTGGTTACTTGAAGGACTCTGGGATGAAGGTGCTGCTGGACTTGTCCTGTTTCATCACCCAGAACCACAGAACCGGGCTGTTGTTTCTGAAAATGGCCTTTACCTCTGAAAACACTGCACAGCTGTAAAAAGGCCTCAAACTGCTTTCTAGAATCAAGCAGGAGCCTCACCTGCAAACTGTCCTCCGGTTCGGATCGTCTCTGCCGAGGCCTCCAGGATGTCTTCCATTAGTTCTGGGAAACCTTCTTCTGCCTTTCACCTCCAGTCCACCTTCTGCTGGCCCGAAGGACGTTCCTCATCATTCTACTGAACACCGGCTGAGGAGAACATCCGGTTCTGTGCCTGTTTACGCTGCTGATTAATTCCTGGATCTCAGCCTCTTCTTCCCAGAACTTCTTCTTTCCTGTGTCGAGACAAAAGGCTCATCGTGTTGGAGTTTTTCTAAAACGTATTTTTGTTCTGGACATGAAGGAGGAACAGTTTGAGAAGCTCATGTATTACGTGTTAAACGGAACGTTGGCGTCGGCAGAAACCTGAATTTAAATCCTTTACATTTGGACTGGACTTTCTTTAAAACTGAAACTGAACTACGAGACAGAATTTACGTTTTGAAAACTGAATATGGAAGAAATCAGAGATTTAAGTTAAATAATATTCAAACCTGAATCATAATTTGAATTTGTAATATTAACGGACTGCAGACTGAGTTTAGCTGCTGTGACATGATGTGGAAAACTGAAAATCCAACTCTGGATAACTTCATATCACTAATTAGTTTTTATGGAAGTTCAGTTGCTGTTAATTAAAATTATTCTTTTCATTCCATTAGAGCAACTCAGATTCACATATAAAGGGTTCTGATCCAGTCTGTGCTGCCGGTACTGACCTTCTGTTTGTTCCTCTCCGTGTGCTTTTATGATCACATTCAGTTTTAATGTAAATCCAGTTCCTGTCATTCGGGTCCAGTTTGTACCAGATTCTCGCCTTTAATTGTTCAGAAGATTTTCCACATCAGGACCTGGTCTGAAACTCAGAGCTCTGATTCTGGCCGACTCGTCCGACTCGTCCGACCCTCCGTCAGGCTTCATCGCTGAATCTCAAACTAGCTGTGAGACTCGAACCTCACGCCACAAACTGTCTCCTCACCTGTCCAGGGTTCTACCTGCAGCCGGACTGAGCCGAAGCAGTTGTGGTCCAGACCGGAGCTCCTGCCTCTGCTCAGTCTGCAGCAGCTCACTGAGGATGAACTGTGCTGTAAATACTGTAAATACGTGTGTGTTGGTGTCTGTCTGTGAGTCTGTTGTGAAGTAGGAAACGTAGCAGTTTGGAAAATAAAGTTTCAAAGAAAAGAAACCGTCTCATCACAGACATGTGCCGTCAGCACCAGAACCTGCTCCACCCAAAGAGCCACGTTCTCAACTAAACAAGTTTCCACATCGATATGAAAACATTCTGACATTTTAAAAGATCTTTTCAACAGTTAGCTTCTTGTTCAAGAAAAGATGAGAGTCAAGGTTTCTGCAGGGTGTTGGCGGACTGGAATGGAAGAGTTCTGACCGTGGAGTCGAGCTTCTGGTAGCAGCAGAGAGCCGGACGGGCTCTTTCCATACCAGGTCACATGTCTGTGACGTCCACCAATCATACGCTCCATCCACATCACGTCTGTTGTCCTGGTTGTTCGTGGTGAGCGTGAAGGGAAGCTGAGCGTGACCGTGTGTTTGGGCGGCTGTCAGGATTTAATGTGCAAGTATGAGGTTCATGTGTGCATCTAGTGCGTCTGCATCGAGGGAAGTGTGTTCGTTTCTGTAAAACTTGAACAGAAGTGTCAGTCGTCACCTGGATTGATGCAGTGTTATGACCTTACCGACCCTTGAACTTACCCGTCCATGGCCTTGACCTTCGGCTGCAGCCGCTGGTTCAGGGTTTGGCTGAACCGGACCAACAAACCTCCGATCAGAAGAGCTGCTGATCCGTTTCCTGTCTGTCAGATATAAATCCCAAAGATGTCACAAGATACAGTTGATAAAATGCTAAACAGTCTCAGACAATCAGCTGATTCCAGGTTCGTGACGGGAAACTCAAAGCTCTCAGAGCGTTTTGAGGGACTGAACACATTCTGTCACGAAGCCATGAAAACAAACAAACAAACAAAAAAAACGGACTTAGCTGTGTTCTCAAATTATAACTAGGAATGTCCTGATCAAGTTCTTTTGGCCTCAATCCGATCCGATTCAGTATCTAACACAGTTTCTTCGATAACACACTGCAAGTATTGTAGATTAGCTGCAGTACCTGGTTGCACCACCAGGTGGCTCTTTGAAACTGTAGCATCCAGAGGAGCTGAGCGGTTCTACGCTGGCAAACTGAAATCGTTGTGAGCATTTGGATAGTCTGGAGGCACCGAGACAAGTCTCCTGTGAGGTTGAAGGACCTCCAGCTGGTCCACAGAAGTACTTTCTCTGCAGCCTTTGGTTTAAAAAACGACGCCTGTGTGACAGCGGACAGTAACAAATATCTATCAGTTAAAAACTGTTGTGATGAGCGCCGATCCTGGCGTTAGCCGTCGGACTGAACCACGTCAGGACACAAATAATCACAACTGTCGACATTTACGTCACCAGACTGCAAAGCTTCCATCATGGTTAGAACGAGCACGTCTGTGAGACTGACTAACGCGAACACTATCCTGACATGTGCTCTACGGACCAAGATGGCTGACAGGAAACAGGAACATGTGCCACGGCTCAACGACAGCAGAACCAATGACAGACGTTTGTTGGTCAAAATAAACTGACACTCGCAGAGGACATTAGAAATAAACCTTCCTGCAGCCTTGAGTGTCTCAACACGACAGATTGTGACAGTATTGGCATCAGTAGCATATAATGATGCATTTAGCATGTTGCTAACATGCTAGCCCTTCAGCAGCAGCCAAACCCTCCGGCAGCGGCTCGGCCTCTGACCTTCTATGCCTGCTATGAACCCAGTGGTCTTAATTCTTTTCTCTTTGCTTTATACCAAACCAAGAGGAGCCTTGTGTTGATGCTGTCAGTGCTGCAGCCTCCCGGGTCCGACCAGCAGCTCCCACCAGCAGCTCCAGTCCTCCCAGTTTGCGTTACAGCATCTGTTAGTCTGAGGTCCATGATGGCGGCTCTGCATGTTTTAACCCTTCATGCAAGTGTTTCTACCATTTGTCCAAATCCTTCAAGATTCATGTTTTAGTTCTAGTATAGTTTGTCGAGCATCGTTTCGTTGTGCTGGTTGATAAAGTCGGTGCATTCAGGAATGCTCAGAGCAGCAGGCGGCACAGAGCGAGTCGAGCTGCTGGAAACCCAGTGAACCTCTTTGGTCGGGTGAATACCAGTAACTCAGTGTGGACCGTGCTGCTGGTTCTGTGTGTTTTTGCCGCTTCGTCTGAGTTTTGCTTCCTAAAGGAAGTCGACCCAAGTGACAGAAGTCTGGCTGCAAACTGAAGAGTCACAGTTCAAACTGTGGTTCTGGTTCTGCTGAACATGTTGGTGAGTTTGTGCTAAAGTTGGACTGAGCTCAGAGACCAGGATCAGCTGGTTCTGTTGGACCCGGGTGGCTGTGGTCACTGTGTGAGTGTTTTTATCTAATGCAGAGTGTGTGTGGTCATTTCCCATCATGCCTCATTGTAGACAGGAACTGATTTTTATTATGTGCAGTAGACAAAGTAGGACTTGAACCAAACTGGGCCGGTTTTCCTGAAATGAATCTCTGAGGTTGCTCAACATTCCAAAAGCTAAAGAACTCATGTTAAAGTCAGGATTCATCAGCTGAAGCCCTCCGCCTCACATCTGGCAGCTAACGAGCTTCACCGTGTGAAACCTGATGTTCTGATCCGATCAGTCATTTAATATTCAGAGTCCCAATCTGACACCATTTTCTGAGCTAATACAAGCTTGAGGTACATTTTGTAGTTTCATTCGGTCACTGAGAATCCTGCTATCGGGTCAGAACACTGGTTAGAAGTGTGGCTTTGACCAGCAGAGGGCGCCATGACAACACTCAGTGACCATTAGTAACCTCCAACTAGAGCTCATGACAGACTGGGACCACCGAGGACAGAGTTCCTGTCTCCCAGTGAGGTCCCAGTCTGTCCATAGTGATGAAGATCCTGAAGGTCCTGACTCACCCCTACTAATAAATGTCACTCCTTTGATTTTAGTCTAAAACCTTCTCAAAGCTGCAAAATGTAGCAAAGACTAAAACCTGAATCATCTGAGTTCTTCTCTTTGAGATGCTTTGAGGAAAACTAGTCCTGCTTGAGGTGGAAGTGAGGAGAACCGCTGTAGACATGTTTTAATGCTAACGATGATCTGTAACGTGGTGTGTGTCGATATGAAACGTGTGTGTTTGCTGGGATCAGGCTGGACCAGACACAAACCCTGATCTGTATCCAGAGAAGATGAATTCAACTGTGAAATAAAACTAATGCAGTGGCGCCGTGAGTCTGAGAATGAATGTTTGTAACCTGAAGACTGACAGGAGGAAACATTAAAGCCTTTCTCTGGTAAACACACAAACTAGTTCATTTATCAAACGTCATTCTGGTTCAGCTCAGACGATCAGACTTCCACAGTGAGAGAGAGACGGAGTCAAGAGTTCCTCTGCTGGAATCAGGAGAGCATCGAGGAGTCTCTCTGGTTCCTGGAGGAACCTCTGATACCTCTATTAAAAGGGTTCTATGTTGCCTGGCTGACCTGCATTTACACTTCAGCTAATTAATCATATTTCCAATACGTAGCTTTATTGTGACTGCGTTTCAACATGTAATACGACAACAGCAACAGTTAACAGCTAGCTAACAGTAATAGCTAACAGCAACAGTCAACAGCTAACTAACAGTAATAGCTAACAGCTAGCTAGCAGTAATAGCTAATAGCTAGCTAACAGTAATAAGTACCTGGTTAAAAGTAATAAGTAGCTACAAGCCACAAATAATTAGTTCAGAATAAGGCTGAAATAAAAAATGGCTGAAAGTAAATAGCTACATGAAACAAATGATTAAGAGCAATAAGTAGTTAGCTAACATGACTTAGTGAGCTACCTACCTACTGACATTGCAGGACCTCTGGTTGGATCTCCAGGAGCTGGTTAACCGTTAAGGGCTGCAAACAGCAGAAGCTGCCACAATGGAGGCCGTCCTGCCGGGTTCAGGGCTCCATGTCTGGACGTCCAGCGTGTTCTGAGCACATCACATCTGGACATTTTACATGTGTCTGATCCAGAACACTGACTCTGATGTTTACAGCAGAACCAACACGCCATCGGGTCAACAACTAAAACTTTCACTTTGTGAGCTACAGACTGACGAAACCACATCCAGTCCCTCACACAGCATCTGGAGGCTGCCACAGGTTCACGTCTCAACAACATCAGCTGGTACGACACAAACAAACAAACAAATAAACCCACCTAGAAATCTCACAGTAAGGTTTCCAGAAACAAAACACTAAAAACACATTCAAAAACCATCCATCATCTCTCCACCTTAATCCTCACCAGGGTCATGGGGGGCGGAGTCTATCCCAGCTGACTCAGGGTGAAGGCAGGTTCACCTGGACAGGTAACCAGTCTATCACAGGGCTACACTTAGAGACAGACAACCAAGCACACTCACATTCACACCTACGGACAATTTACAATCACCAATTAACCTCAGCATGTTTCTGGACGGGCTGCAGGTGGTTCAGTGGTTAGCATCGTGGCCTCACAGCTAGAAGGTCGCCGGTTGGCGTCCCGGTGAGGACACCCGGGATCTTCCTGCGTGGAGTCTCCATGTTCTCCCCGTGCAGCGTGGGTTCTCTCCGGGTTCTCCGGCTTCCTCCCACAGTCCAGAAACATGCTGAGGTTAATTGGTGATTGTAAATTGTCCGTAGGTGTGAATGTGAGTGTGCTTGGTTGTCTGTCTCTAAGTGTAGCCCTGTGATAGACTGGTTACCTGTCCAGGTGAACCTGCCTTCACCCTGAGTCAGCTGGGATAGGCTCCGCCCCCCATGACCCTAGTGAGGATTAAGGTGTAGAGATGATGGATGGGATGTTTCTGGATTGTGGGAGGAAGCCAGAGAACCCGGAGAGAACCCACGCTGCACGGGGAGAACATGGAGACTCCACGCAGAAAACATCAAACTGTGACTTTTGTTGTTGTTGTATTCACAGTGATTTGAATGCGGCTGAACAGTGGAGTTTAGGCTCAGAGGCTGCAACAGAACACATCAGTTCACGTTTGAGGTCCGTCAGCGTCTCCATCCAGACGTTCTCTGAGATGTTATCAGCAACTGAACAGGAACAACCTGCAGAACAACTACAGTGAGTTTAACTAAATGAGGCTTCACTGGATGGTGCCGACTGTATCCAGAGACCGTCAGGACCGCCTGATCCCAGATCAGCTCACATCAATCAGGATCTTGTGGTTCTGTTCAGCTGCTGCAGAAATAAAGTCCAAACTGTGAGAAAGTGTCAAAGTTTTATTTGGATTAAAAAGTGGGAATGTTTGGTTACACACGGAAATATGGGTCACAGACAACAAGCCCATCCACTGGTACAGAACCAGTACAGAACCCGCCCATCCACTGGTACGGAACCAGTACAGAACCAGTCTATCCACTGGTACGGAACCAGTACAGAACCAGTCCATCCACTGGTACGGAACCAGTCCAACAGGTTAAAGAATCAGGTCCTCTCTCCGCTGAAGCTCAGAACCAGGACCGGACTGAAACATCCGACCGTGATGCTGTAAAGTGCAAAAATTCAGAGAAAGTCAACGTGGACGCCGAGAAAACACCGACCGTCTCCAAAGTGTCGTTCTGGACAGTTTACGAAATGTTCTGGGTCACGGTGGACAAGTTGAGTGATTCTGGACAATACTGAAGGAAGTCTGGAGAAGGCTGGAGAGGTTCTGGACAACGTTAGTCAGTTTGTCTGGTGGACGAAGACATGGAGAAACAAACCTTCTCTCACCGAGTCCATCAGCTGAAGGACCCGTCAGTGTTACGCAACAAAACATCCGTCGAGTTAATCTTGACCAAGTTCAGACCAGGACCACCACGCTGCTCCTCCTGGTGAAGAGACATCACTGATGGACATGTTAGAACCACTTCAGACCAGCTTCAGCCTCAGAGTTTCCACTGCAGATCCAACAGCTTCATGTCACTCAGAGACCAGAACTAACGGTTTTTAGGAAACAGAACAAAGGAGGTTAAAGCGAGTGGACCTGCTTCAGTGTTCAGGAACACGTCAGGAGGTTCTGTTAGACGGACAGAGAGCTGAGGGGAACAGAAGGAGGCTCTTTGAAGCACACGTCCATCGTTTTCACTCCTGCAGAGCTGAAACAGTCGAGGAGAGTCCAGACGAATGAAGCCAGCGGTCAGCAGAAGGAAACACAACCATCCATCCAAGTTTCAGCCAGAACCTCTACCTGAAAGTCAAGTCTGAACTCTGGACCAGACTGGTGTCCACGTCTTCTCTGGAGGTCTCTAAAACTCCCGCAGACACACAGAAGGTTTCAGTTTCCTCCTCAAAGAAATGAAATGTAGTTTTTGGGCACAATGCCTCGTTTCCCTCCTACGACTCCTAAAATCCACCGATCGTCCACAGACTCCACCTGAGCGATCACATCCCCCACCTGCAGAAGACAACAGAGTCAGAGAACGACCGAAACAGGAAGCAGCAGGAACATCTACAGGGACATCTACAGGAACATCTACAGGAACATCTACAGGAACATCTACAGGAACATCTACAGGA